GTCCTGCTGGCAGTAAAATAATATTTCTTAGAAAGTGTCTGGTAGTTGAGGGGCTAAAGGCATAAAATTCCTATCATTCATTGTGCTCTACGCACATTTGTCACGTGTTTTAGCTGCAAACGTTGAGGCGTGACTTGTTTGCGTGAGTTTGTTTGAATTGTGGGTTCATGTACATATGTATATACATACTTATAGTTAAGCAAAAGCGAATGTGAGTGTTGCTTTATGTATATTGCACATATGTATGTACTATATGTATGCCTATATACATACTACATATAAGGGAATATACATATTTATATACATTAGGCATATGACTGATTTTTATAAATTAAGTATACTTAAGGGAAGAGGTTGAGGAATGATAAAAAGATAACAAAAATAATGCGTTTGTCAAAATTTGGTAAAAAAAAGTTTCTGCAGGGAACTCAGCGAAAGAAAAGAATGTGTACTGAAAAAAAACATATATATTTGTGAATAGAAAAGAATCTGATATTTGGTCTACCTAATATAATAGTTTAGTTCTTATGGCAAGGACACTATTTAAGGCCCAATAGCGCTCACCTATTGCATTCTAACTGTACTCCCTCAATAACTATCACTCTCGAATGACAAAAAATTAGAACAATAAAGGTCCCTTGAGGATTCTTTTCACGTCAACACATCGGCAGCTTGCTTACTTTGACCGCATTAGGCTCTGTTACCCACCAAAATGTGTCAAAACCGTTTTAGCAAGCTTTGATTAGATCATCCTGTTGTAGAAGCTCCGGCTGGCCGCTTACCTATCTGAAAAGATATCTAAATGGACGTTCATTAATAGCCTTATTTAATTTGTCACAGGTTAAGACTGCTAATGAAGCAGCATGGAACACCTTTTGCCATCTGCCCATTTGGATTGAAAGTGTGGTGCTAGGTCCATAAATACCAGCACCCATTTTTTCATACATATTTGCATTGAGTAATAATATTCGAATATGGAAACAATAACAGGTCCAGCCTTGCTATATTTATTCACAATAGAATCTGTTTAAAGCCGCTCTGTATAAAAGTTGTGACTAGAAAGTCCAAGTCGAAGTTTAAGCTTCCTCGTGACAGCCGTGGCCTTAACGAAAATACATACAAATAGGAGTCTATCTTAAAAGTGACTCCAGCGCCACAGAGCTAAGCATGTTGCCAATGGTGAAGTGATGCAGTGCAGACATTTCAAAACTGGGCATATTTTTTTCTTAAAATTGGGAGTGCATTTTCGGTCATCCCATATCTTAATAGAAATTGTTGCCTATTGTAAAAATATAACACAAATTTTTGCTCATATGAAAAGTGAACATACATTTTTGGTGATCTTAAAACTGCTTAAAAACTTTTAGTCATATAAAAAACTAGATAGAAATCTGTGCTCATCTGAAAGCTTGACGTAAATTTTGGCTCATCAAAAACTAGGCAAAGTTTTTTTTTATTGGGCACCAATCTCTGTTCAACTAAACATTCGATTTAAATTTTGCTGATTTTTGAAAACTGTACATACATCTTTGTTCATCTAAAAGCTAAGCATACATTTCAACTCATCTCGAAACCGGAAAAAAATTCATGGTCATCTAAAAATGATCATAAATTTTTATCGTATTAAAATTTGACACAAAATTTTTTTTTCATTTAAAACTGGTCATAAATTGTTGATCATCAATATACTAGAAAGATTGATTGTTTTTTTTTTTTTTAATATTTTTATTGTGCTTTGTAGCACGATTATTTTATTAGAAAAAATGGAAAAAGCAACAAAGTTTAAGCGGTAGAAGTTATAGCAGCTATTTCGGGGATCACCACATCTCCTTATCAGACTTACTTTTTCTAGACTTCAGCAGGGATCGAATCCGCGTCATCGATGTACAAAGTCAGAAGCGTTAACCACTGAGCTATGCATACCCCATTAACTCGTGTTGCTAATTCATTTTCCTTATTCAACCCACTGCTATCAAGAGTGTAGCAGGTTTGCCGAAATTTGTCGATTTATCGTACCGAAGTTTTTGGAATGTTCAAAATATATCGAGTTATTGAAATCTCAAGGTTATATAAGTTTATCGAGTTATCACTATTTATCGAATTCTATACTCTGGTAACACGTGTGAAGTGTTATCGAAATTTGTCGATAGCTTTCGAAAATTTTGGGGCTATCAAAATTGACCGAGTTATTGAAATTTATGGAGGTATACGCGGTATACACGGTATACACGGTATATCGAATTATCGATTTATATCGATATATATATATACATATATATTTTTGAATTATATATATTTATAGAGCACTTGAAATGCACAATTATCGAAATTAGTCGAGGTATCGCAATTTGTTGATCGGATTATAGTACTTTTGAAATTCAGCGAATTATCGATATCTATCAAACTGTCGGAATTTATGGATAAACTGGAATATATCGGGTAAATTCCAAGTACTCCAACGACTTTCAAAAATATAAATAAATATATTTATATATTATATATTTATTTATATAAATTAAACGACTTGCTAAGTTAGAAATCTCTCTAAATTAGAAAAGCGGTGGAATTTGGACAGTAACTGGCACTCCTTTCATATCAACTCATTTTATCATTTTTCTAATCTATTCCAGGCGATTATTGTTTGTTCATTTGCCCTTTCCTTTCTGCAACTTAAAGTACCTAAAACATACAATACTTGTACTCGTCAGTTAAATAAAAAATCCTTCCACACTCACTCACGCACGCACTCACTCAACTGTTCTTATCAAACGTGCAACAACAACGACATGCGACGACAGACATTTCCGTTGAGACCGACTAGTCACTGTCAGTACCAAAGTCAATCCTTCACAATTCACTGTTCATCAACAAGTGAAGCAGCAGTAAATTGAAAAGCAGATAAAACTGATGCTGAAGGCCAAAGGCAAAGCAAAGAAACGGGTAATAAAAGAAACTGCTGGAAATTGAGGAGAAAAATCAGGTTGAATGAACAGCCAAATGGAACTCAGTATAGTCGCCAATAATTCTTAGAACCCTTGTAAGGAAATACTTACTATGTACACGTGTAGTTGCATACATATGTATGTATGTACACTTGCTTCCAGTTACGTATACGCCCCGTGGCGGGTTAACAAACATACTGTGTATGTATGTAGATTGCTTTAGGTTTGTATTAGCGTTGTTGTTCGTTATGCATGTCTGCAGTGAATATCTTTCACATGCCATTATTGAAGTATTCACAATTGGGATAATTTGCATGGCAACGTAGACATAAGGCAAATGAACTATCTATGTACAGCAAACATGTGCATTTGAATGCTGTGAAGGCCATAAAGCTAAGCCGATTTAGCATTGGAAAGTTAACGATGAAGAAAGTGGCACAAATATACAAACTTTATCGGCGCATCAAGTAGGTATATACATACATACATACGTATATTTTTTTCGTAGAATAGTGGTGCTTAGAACCAATTTTTTTTTTTATTTATTTGCGAACCTTTCGCATTATGAGAATGGATGTTCGGAAAATATATTACAGATATCAAAATTCTCGTAATTAAAATACAAAAAAGTGAATTTTTGTGCACGTTTGGTAGCTCATATTACCGAGCCCCAAACTCGGTGTGATAGGCCACCAAAGATATACCATATTTGTAGGCAAAATTAATTATTTTGGCTCATTCTTCGATCGCTAATCTTTCTATATTTTAAAATAACAAATAACAGGAATTTACTTTTCCTAGCGCGAGATGGAGACTCATTTAAATATGTATGTACATTAGACTGCATCACAAAAAACAGTTAAAGGTTTTCCACCGGGATTACAAAATTTATTATATTTTAAGACGTCCACCAAAATATTTCGAAAAAATATTAAGATTTACGTGAGCTGGAGCGATTTGAAAATATCCCTGAAAATGGAGTTTTTTATGAATACAAATAGTTTTTTAAAGAAAAAAAAAAACAAATCCCTTCAGACGACAAAACAGATGAAGCTTAACAAATCTGCATACAAATATTTAAAAATATTTTCAACGGAATCGTAATAATGAGATTTTTTATGCCGTTTTTTTAACGTTTTTCAAAGATTGATTTACGATAAACTTGAATAACTGGGCCAAAACTATTCTGATTTAGACTTGTGAGGTCTCAGTAGAAAGGTATTTTCTCACTCCTTTTATTTCTGTGTAAAAAGAAGTCTTTCGTGTTCCAATTTTTTTTTTTGCTCAGGCCAATGTTTATATCATTTATTTCTAGTTTGAGGTTGAAATATTTTTTGCAATCCCCAAAAGAAATATTGACCTTGTTATCGTTTGGCTCGGTAACTTAAATTTGTTAAGCACCACTGCTGTAAACGCACGAGGATTTTAGAATAGAACACACAAAAAACAACGCAGGGTGCAAAGTCATCGTGGAAATAGGGTAAAAATAAGATCTTACAATTCTGTTACTCTTTGGGCTTTTAATAGCCGAATTCAGCATCGGTGACAAAATTTTTTTTACTGACAAATTTAAACTGTGATAAGAATTTTTCAGTGATGCAGAATAGAGCCGTAAGTTTAGTTATGATTTGTTGTTTTTTTTTGATACGAAAAGTAAAAATTTTTGGTTTAAAACTGAAATTTGTAATTTAAAATTTAATTAAGAAATAAAGTGCATTTAAACTTTTTAGTAAAACTATAAAAGAAAAAGTGGGTCCTTCAGATCCCACGGCCGCCAAGGGTTAAATCTTTTTTTTTTTGCATAAACCTGAGAAACTATATGCCAATCTTTAAAAACATCATATTTTTTTAAATCATTAACCATCATTATTTTTTTCCGAAAAATGCGTAAAATTGACGATAGTGCAGAGCACATATCTACAAATACTTATGTATTGCTATATTGTTCAAAGAATTAATGAAACAAAAATATCTACAGTGGCGAAAATATTTAATATGGAAAATAAATTTTAGCATTCTTTGGCTATTTCTTGTAAGTAAAAATTTCAAAATTTCCACCAAAATGCTTGAGCTTTTTAATTGGATTTTTTGGAAAAATGTGCAAGTTTTATGTAGCTGGGACTTGCCGCTGAATTTTGGTATTTTTCGTTGTAGCGGACGGTGCTGATCTTTTTCTGCATGCAAAAAAAAAAAGTGTCAAACATATTTTGTATTCAAGAAAATGCGTGACCAAAATATTTTAAAAAATTAACGTCGCTTCAAACTTGCACTTTATTGCATTAAAATTTAATATGTTACAAAATTGTGTAAAAAAATCTATTAAAAAGTTTCAAATTTTGATGTATGTATGGTCCTTTGTTAAAATTCGTTTTTATAAATGTTTGAGATTTTGATTTACATGTTGCTTTTTTTTTTTGTAGTAAGCTATATTTTCCTAAAAAATAGTAAACAAGAAAAGTAGCCAAAATTTGCTAAAATATCCCTTCCGTTAAGTACCTCAAACTAAAATATGTATTAATTTTTGAGGTAAAACATATACTTTGATATATATTAAAATGATAAATACTTATGCGCATTTAATTAATAATTTTTTAATTTATTTTTATATTTTCAGCAGCCACCATTTCACCATGTAATTGTCAGAATGGAACACTTTACTGACACTTTTGATCTACCAATTGCACAACATTAGAGCCGAGTGCTTGCCCCTAATTTTCAGCTGCTTGGATTTTTTGCTCTTTAGCGTGGTTAATTTTCAATTGAGGTAAGTGTGTATTTGAATAGTCAGTTTCAATATTTAATAGTTTTTATATTAAAATTATTAAAATACGATTAGTAGAAACCAATTTGATATAACAATTTTTAATCAACAGCAATACCGTCATGCACAGCGTCCACAGCAGATAGCCATGATTTTGTAGGAATTTTTTTGGCTTACTGCTTATAATTTTCTGTTCTTAAATGTTTTTTAGTAGTTCTAGATCTATTTTGCAATGCTTAATTTTCTTTTCCCTGAGCGAGAGACATCTGGAGCAGAATTCTAATAGTTAGTTCAAGAATGATAGAATGAGCACGCGAAACAACAACAATCATCCTATTTATGCTATCTATTCACCATTCTAGACAGTATGCACCGGATCGTGAATACCCCTATGGAAATGTATATATGCACAAACATATGTACATATGTATGTATGATATTTTAAAGAAATTTTTGCTGAATGGCTTTACAAAAATAAAGTGTGTTCAATATGTACAACATAACTATAAACAAATGGCCTTATTCATAAAAAAACAAAGTGAGTTTGAAGAGCTTTATAAATTTACGTTGTCATACATTTTTCAATTAGTAAACCTTTTTTTAAATCTACTTAAAAAATTTTATGAATAAGGGCCAATATGTGTAAATTTGTATAAACAAAAGTGTATAAAATTGTATAAATTTGTATAAGGACAATTCCGTGTCAAATCGAGCAATGGTTGCAAGCGATCCCTTTCAATTTGGATGAAATTTGGTCAGATATTTTCTATCAACCTCTAATGAAGTTCCACCAACAGAAAAAAATAAAAAAAAAATGTTTGCAAAAGTTATGCGAAATTCAAAATTTCACTATTTTTTCTGTTTTCATGTTACCGTTTGCATTTAAATCAACGTAAATATGTATAGTATGCGAATAATATGCGTATTAAAAAAACAAAAATAGCTTTCTTGGTCTTTGTTTTTTTTTTTTGAGTATGTGCCTTTGTGATGATTATAAATGAGCCACACATACACATGCGCACATCTTTCAATTCGATTGCCATCTGCATTGAATGCAATTATTTTAATGGAAATTTTATTATTTTTGCTTACAGGTAAGCATGAAAATGCGTGTACGCAAAACCTTTACAGTAAATGCAAATACTATGTATGTATGTATTTAGGTATGGTGGTGCATTCATATGTAAATCTTTACAAAAAGCTATAAATTCTGAAATATGAATTATTGCTGACACTAAATGCTCTATTGTCTTTTTAAGTATTCATTTACACGGTGCATTAACAGTATTTCACACATGCATGCACACGCTGGCATTAAATGTATTGGCCATGTATCGTAGCCTACTTTTAGGCATTGGTTATAATGAATTTACAAATGTATTTATTTTGTTGTTTACTTATTTGAACTCGCTCGCCACGGCTGTACACAAAACAGTTTATTTGCCTACATTTGGATTAATTGCTTGTGGCTATACAATTTTAAATGCTGCAATACAATGGTATTAAATGTATATTTTTCTTGATTGCTTTTGGCTGATAATTTATTGTCGGTAAATTGTTTTCTATTATGCGCAGACATTTTTGTTTTTATTTTAATTTAAAATTTGAAATTGTCACTAAAGTGGGATTATATTATCGCACACAAATACTACCTGCGATTAAAATGCAGAGCTGCATTGTTTTCATTTGAAAGTGAACAAATTTATTACGAAGAATTACAAAAAAACTTTAACCTTAAAAGGGGTCAACATTTAACGTATTCTAGGGACGAGCCTGTCGACCGATAGGAGCTTTCAATGAGCCATATAATTCATAATTCGATTCGCAAAAACATACAGTGAGTCAAACAAGTGTTTTCGTGTTGATTTTTTTTAATACACCTATTTTTGGAAAATTCAACAAATTTACATCAAAATGTTACGCTTTATAATCTGAATTTTTAGAGAGGTTCTGTGTATGCTTTTTTATAGCTCATACAATTTTAGTGTAATGAAGTGCATGTTTAAACCGACTAACTATCAGAAAAAACTTTAATTAGTGGCAGCGTTTATGAATTAAAGAAAAAAAACAATTTTTTTTTGAACCACTCTAGTAGACGTGCGTTAAATGCGCTTGCAAGGAGATACGTCACCAATTTCGTATGTGTGCCAGGCCATAGAGTTGTGCCGGGCAACTGTGTTGTGGATGAACTGGAAAGGAAAGGCACCTTACTCTCAGCAATCTGTACAATCTTCCTACAAACACTGGCTGAAGAATAAATTTATCAAACGAGCAAATACAAGATGGTCTGTTGAACCCACGTGCAGAACTGCATGGCATATTTGGCCTAGGTTGGATAAGCGTAGATCTAACCCTCTACTCGGCTTGGGTCGGCCCACTGCTCCAGCATGTAATTGGAGTTCTGACACTGGGCAATGCGTAAAGGGAACCCAAGGATGTCGTTGCTACTAGTACTACTGTCGTAGCTGCCGTGGTAAGGAGGAAATCTGCCATCGTGTCTCCACTATTCCATTGAATGTTTGAATGAACTCGATTCAGCTAGTAGCTGCGATTCCGTGCGCTTCTTTAGGGCTACAATTTTGTTTTACTTCTAAGGTGTGAGAAGGGATGTAAGGAGTCTCTAATATGGCATCACCATGGGCCCACAGTGGCCTATATTGGCTGGATATAGCCAAGATAACCCAATCTTTTCCCACACGTTTTACCAACGCTGACGATACCTTCCCCTTCCGAATCTACCAGCATCGCGATCCGCGCTGTATACTTTCAGAGCTGAATCATTTCAGTTCATTCGTACGACACGACCAAGCCAGCTGAGTCTCTGCATTTTAATCTGCCGTATTATTTATGTTCATATTATTATATCGGAGCTCATATCGCTCCCTTCCATATAAAATGTGGGCAAAAATAGAATTCGGGACGGATTTAAATGAAAATTCGCATCTTAGTAACATTGAGGACGATAAATTCAAAAAATGCAATTGGTTTTTGGATAACTTTCATACCTTCACTGTAAATGTTTGAAGTTGAAAATTTGGGCTCTTGTGGCTTTTACATAGATAGGTATGTACATATAGTTCGCTCTATTTTCAAAATTGAGGTGTCAAGTTAGGCTTGGCCTGTGCAATAAAGTTTTTCAATTTTGAAAAGGGTTGCCACCTGTTAAAAATTTTATTAAAATAATTTAATAAGTTAAATGAATTAGATATTAAAATGTGGGTATAAAGTGAACTAGTTTTGAAAATACTTTGCCTCTAAATGACACGTAGAAGGGTTGCCACGTGTTTAAAAAATCAAATACACTTTAATTGAAGGAATAAGGTAACTGAAATATGTATATCAATATGAGCAGCAGACAAATAAAAAAATTTGACATATTTAGCAAGAAATAAGTGGAGAGTAAAAACATTCCTGAGTTAATTTAAGAGTCCAGTAATTTAAAAGGAATGTAATCAGAACAAATTACTGATTGGCTATCTATGTATTTGTAATAAAACAGCAAATACGATGGCGTAATCCTATGGTTTGACGTAATTATTATTTTAGTTAAACTAAATTCGAATTTACAAGCAGGTGGCAACCCTATTCGTAATATTTTTAAGCTAAAACCTTCTTAAACCTCTTTCGTCTGACTCCCTTATGGTGATACTTATCTATTTCAATTACGTCATTCCCTGAACTCAAGTGGAATTTGATTTTTTAAACAGGTTGCAACTCTCTATATGTATTTAAGAAATAAACCCTTTTCATACACATTTCGATTGGTACCCATCTCTTAATAATTCATTTAACTTATAAAAAAATTTGAATCTAATGTTTTAACAATCTAGCTTTTTAACAGGTGGCAACTCTTAAAAAAAAAATAAACATTCTATTGTCCACAGGTTAAGCTTTTTAAGCTGACACTTCATTTTTGAAAATGAAACAAATCGTGCAGATCTCAAGGCACTGACCAAAAATGAAAATGAATTATTTTATGCATTAGCGAAAAATTCATTACTTCAGAAAGTGCAAAAAATGAGCAGGTTTTTATTTCTTCTTTTGAAAGCTAAAAGCCCGTACTATTTAGTAAAATAATAAAAAATAACCGATTTTTACATATATTTTTTATTCATTCCATTAAAATTTAGCATTTTTTGAAATTTTGTTTAAAGAAATTGTTTTTTTTTTGGAACACCGTAGGGACACCCTGTCTTTAATTTTATTCCAAAATTTTAATTCCTGTAATTCTCTACCATCTATATGGAAACTAAAAACGTCAAACCAACATTTTATTTCAAAGAATATATTTTTGAAATCTTTTTCTGTGAAGAGCTTACGCCTGGCTATGCTTTTATTAAAATTCTTAGTATAGAAGTTGTCGACTTTAGTGGCTTCCTGGCGGAATATAATTAATTTTTTAGGGATATGTCTGTTTAATTATTTTTAGTGGATAAATAGTCTTTACAAAAATACCAAATAAGTTCACATTAAAGATAATGAATTTTTCGATTTAAGCCTACTTAGGCGGCACTGTGCGGTGGGATGAAAAAATTTCGGTTGAATTTATTGTCAGGCGAAACTAAGGATCGATTATATTTCATGCAGGCCATCTACAAGATACCTATGTAGGTATGGGTGGCTGGTACTATTCACATCTACGAAATTGCGCTGTATTGAAACGCTTCTCTCCAATACGTTTTATTACAATTTCAGTGTAATTTTATGGTAAATTTAATTAGCGTTCCATAGGCTTTTATTTAACTTAAAAAGCCTATGTAAGGTGTCCCATCAAAATTTGCATTTATGCGCAGATGGATGTAAAAGCTCTGAGTTAAGAAAGAGTTGAATATTTTTTTTTGTATTACACCATTAAAGGCTGCTTTTTGTAAATAAATAAATAAATAAATAAAAAGGTATTGCGCATTTGAGATTATAATTAGCAGAACACTAATAAGCAATGCCCCCTTGCATGGTTCCTTCTCGAAACTAGTAGCAGTTCTTCAAGAGATTTACAAATCACAAACATGGCAAACTCACATCTCCGATAACCCATTCAAATATCTAAAACTTATATTTAATTGGACATTTTTTTATTGTGTTTTATATGTACAATAATACTTCAAATAGTTCCGACAATTCCTTATCGGCAACCCAATTGAACAGCTTTAAGCGACTGGCGCGAAGCCAATGCGGCTGTTACCCAAATCGAATTCGGTGTAGTAGAGACCAATGAAGATATCACCCAAGATCCAGAAATTGGTGCCCATGTAGCTAACGGCTGGGGAGCACTCACCGGCGTCATTGAGAATATATTGCGAAGCTGGCACCAAGAAACTGTTGCCACCAATAACGAACACCATATCGGGCAGCGAGTCGATAAGTGAGCAATCGACCACTCCATCATAGTCGGGATCAACAACACTCATGAAGACAGAGTAAGCATTGTAGGGTGCAACGATGAGGGAGGTGCCCGTATCGGCGATGGCTTGGCAACCTTCACCGCACATGGTTTGTCCACCAATGGTGGCGCCACCCAAGCTGAATTGCCAGTAGCCTTGCTGAGAGATGGGTACATAAGTGAGTCCACCTTGGTAGTAGCTGGGATCAGAGCCGCCCAAGATCATTTCACCACCCTGGTCGGAGGTGCCTTCACGCGCCAGGTAGAAGGAAAATACATCATTATTCACCAGACCTTGATTCCAGATGTTGTAGAAGGGCGGCACAACATTGTCCACTGCGATCGATTGAAATGCCATGCCCATAATACCATCAAAGTTCGAGTTTACGAAGCTAGTGCCAGGTTCTTGTATAGCTTCAGCAAATACTTGGTTTTGAATGGTGAGACCAGCAACGCTTACTGTGTCCTGCGACAAGAAACCACTCAAACTGCCGCTTCCATATTGAATGGAGAAGCTTTCGCCATTAGCCACATAGGTGCTGGAGGCGCTTGAGTCGTATTGATTGTGGTCTTGACATGCTTCGTTACTATCGGGGCAGGTGGATGATGGCACCCACAGATTTGAGGAACCAGTATCGAAGAGCACTAAGAATTCCTGCGCTGGTGTGCCAATGGTGATCTTGCCATAGTAGGACAGATTCAGCTCATTATCCAGCTCTTCGGAAACGCTGCGTGGTCTGGCAACATTGTATTTTGCGCGCAAAAAGTTGGTTTCGGCTTCGACAGAACTGCGAGTCCTCCGATAATTGGGGTTCTTGTAGATTGGGACGCGCACCAAATTGGCCGAGGCCAGGGCGGCGCAAATTGTAAGGAATACCAAGAACTTGAACATTTTTGCTGTAAGGAGGAAATGGTTGCTTGTTAGAATATATATAAAATATAAAATTGCTATTTGCTTACCACTCGGGGTTAGTTGGAATGACGTACAGCACGGGGCAATGATATAAAACCATGCCATAAATTTTCATTTCTAAGGCTTTTATAGTCGCGTTTAGGAGATGCAGTGCGCTGTCATAATGGCTTTGCTTTATTATTACATTCCTTATCAGTTGAAACTAATTAGCTACTCGAAACTTAATGCTGGGAAGAAACTTAAGCTGAATTGCTTTTGGTTTATTTATTTTGATTTTTTTACGGTGTGAACATGTTGAGGTAACTAATATATATTTCAGTGACATTAAGTGATTCTTAAGTTAGTATTATGAACTTTTTTTTGCTTGATAAGTGTCGCGGCTTTTGGTGCGTTGGTGTTGATTGCAGTAATTAGTTAGCTAACCATTTTAGTAGCGTCGTAGTGGGGTAGCGGGTGATAAGATATGCACAAAATAAAATACATTTATTTATTTTTATTAATGCGCTTCATTGAGTACATTTTAACACATTGAGTAGCGAGCTAATTTGAGTTGAAATGAAAATTGAAACAAAAGGTTTTTCGAATATATGAATCATAAAAAAATTGCATGTAGTGTCGCACCAAAGCGAACGAAAAGGTCAAATGTGGCACTCAGGGAGGTACTAGATGCTATACATAAATAAAAAAATGAATAAAAATTTTGTTATGGAGCTCCTTAAACCTACTGCCTTTGTCATCCGTATTAAAAAATTTAATTTAACTTATAAATTAAACTGAATGTGTTTTTTTTTACAGGTGGCAACCCGCTATTAAAATGTTTTCAAAATTATGTTTTCTTAAGCGGCTTTAATTTCACATCCTCCTTTGTTTGACACCCATATTTTAATATTTTAGCGTATTAATTGAACTGAAATTGAATTTTTCACAGGTGGCAACGCCCTGCGAAAATACGTTTGCTATATAGCTGTTTAAACCTACTACATTTGTCATCATGATTAAAAAATTGTATTAACCTTATAAATTAAACTGAATTTTACTTTTTTACAGGTGGCAACCCTCTATTGAAATGTTTTTAAAATTATGTTTTCTTAAACGACTTTAATTTCACATCCTCCTTTGATTGACATCCCTATTTTAATATTTTTTTCAACGTAATAATTGAATTGAATTTGTCACAGGTGGCAACGCTCCTTAAAAATACTTTTGCTATATAGTTGCTTAAACCCACTGCCTTTTTCGTCTGTATAAAAAAATTAAATTTAACTTATAAATTATAATGAATTTGACTTTTAAACAGGTGGCAACCCTACTAAAATGTTTCAATTATTCATTTGGTATCCATGTGATAAGGCTCAACATCACCTAAAGCCCTTTTTGTTACAGCTGCATGTTATTCGATGAGATAAAGTCATCGCAGCATAAGCTAAAAAGCTGGAAGTTTAAATACCTTGGGGCCCACTTATTGTTCACACCTAGTGAACCTTTTGAAATTCTCTGCTTAACCATTTCGTAGTTAGAACATTCAAACATCTAACTACCTTTTTGTTAAAAAATATCAAACAGTTAGGAGTTTAGCGGTCAATAACATCTAACGTTAATTCTTACTGTAGGTCTCTGGCAGAAAGGGCAGTGCTTCAAGAAGTTGTTTTTTGGTTTAAATTGCTTTAACGTAAATATTTACTATGTAAAAACACTTCCCGAAAACCAAACCGTGACCAAAGGATAAAAAATTAAAACAAATAAAAATTATAACTATTTTGCTTACCAAAGGTTTATTCATAGAGAAAAATTTGAATTTCCTACACGAAAATATATGCGCAATTAGGCGACAGGCGCGAAACCAATACGATTTTTGCCGATATCGAATTCAGTGTAGTAGAGACCAATAAAGATATCACCCAAGATCCAGTAATCAGTTCCAATATAACTGATAGCAGAGTAGCAATAACCGTTATCCTCAAGAATGTACTGCGACGCTGGCAAGGGGAAAGCTTTACCGCCTATAAGGAATTCTATGTCACCCAGAGAGCCGATGAGCGCGCAATCGACCAGACCCTTGTTGTTGGGATTAACAATGCTAGCAAATTTTTTGTAGGCACCTAGGGGAGCAATAATTTGCGAGGTGCCTGTGTCGGCAATGGCCTGGCAACGGTAACCGCAAAGGCTTTTGCCAGCAAGGGTGACTCCACCTAAACTGAATTGCCAATAGCCCTGCTTAGAGACTGACACGTAGGTGAGTGATCCGTGGTAGTAGCTGGAATCGGAGCCGCCTAAGATCATTTTACCACCTTGGGTTGAGCTGGTGTTGCGTGCCAAGTAGAAAGAGAATACATTCTTGCTCACCAGACCTTGTGACCAAATGTTGTAGAAAGGTGGCACAACGCTGCCCCTTGCGAGATTTTTGTGTGCCAAGCCAAAAATACCATCGAATTTCGACTGAATGAAGTTGGGGCCAAGCTCGTTAGTAGCCTGAGCAAATACTTGATTTTGAATCGTGAGTCCAGCTATTCTCACTGTATCCACTGACAGGTAACCGGATAAACTACCTGTGCAGTATTGGATGAAGAATTTTTCGCCATTAGCCACATAGGTGCTGGAAGCGCTCGAATTATATTTGTTGTGTTTTTGACAGGCTTCGTTGCTATCCGAACAGTTGGATGATGGTACCCATAAGGTTGAGGAACCTGTATCGAAAAGCACCATGAACTCTTGGGCCGGTGTGCCAATGGTGATTTTGCCATAGTATGCCAAATTGTAATCATTGGTCAATTCCTCGGAAGCAGTGTTTGCAGCGTATCTGGTGCCATATTTGTAGCTCAAAAAATAGATTTCATTTTTCAGTGATTTTATACTCCTGCTATGATTGGCATGCTTGTAGACTGGGACGTGTATCAAATTGGCGGAGGCTAAGGCAATATAAATGGTAAAGAACGTGAAGAACTTGAACATTTTGGCTGTTGAATAGAAAAAAAAGAAAAAGTTTAAGAAAGTATTTGTATAAGTGTGGTGAAGCTATATAAAATGTGTTTAGTTCTTACTTACATATCAGTAAATGCTATAATATGGATCAAACCGACTGAAGGTTTTGCACGCTGTTTTTATAGTCAAACTAAGATACTTTGTTTGAACAGCTTTGTCTTCGCAATCCATTATCCGTACTTGAAAAAGAGAAGAGCCAAATTGTTACTTGGTAAATAATAATATTTAGTATTTTAGCGCTTACACTTTTGCTGGGTGTTTGGCCTAGCTTGTGCTCCCATTTGTGGTGTGCGTACTGATGTTATAATAAGAAATGAAGACAATTACAATTTTACACCATCTCCGACCGGCAAATGGTTTGAAAAAACAAAAACTTTTTCTAATTAATTAAGATGTTTCACGGACTAGGAATCGAACCCAAGACATACGGAGCGGTAGTACGATCCTCTAACCACTCAGCTCAGTAGTTTCCTCTCCGAATATTGCCAAAATTTAGATAAGTATGTACAAATGTATGTGAAAGAGTTGTATAGAAGAGCAAAAAACTTATAATACATAATTTCTTCGAGAGCAGCTTATCTTAAGCTAACAAATAAACTCACCAAGCCATTCTTTTCTGATGGATCACAGCGCTTAACAGTGTGTACTTAACCCGCTCACGGCCCTATATCAACACTCAAGAAATAAGAGAGTGGAATACGAAAACAACGTATTTTTTTCTAAATATTAAAAAACTTTATGTGGAAGAGTACAAGTATGGAGAGCAAAAAACTTTCAACAATAATCAACTTTCGAGACTATACGTAAAAGCTCCGCTAGGGTACGCTACCCGGCGACCTTCGTCTCGCCCAAATTTAATATTTGACTGAACACTTTCACCAATTATTCACTTAAAGACTTCCAGTGGCACACTTATCTGCTTTTATGGTTTTGTGGTCATCAGAAGGCATAACTTCCATTGCCATTTTAAATAACCTAACCAAAGCTTTGTGTCCGTGACGAAGTTCTTGCAATTTTGTAATGGTTTGACGTTTCATAGCACAGTTAGTCGCACAACACTGATCGATCTCGATGTCAGAGTTGTCAACGAGTTGCAGTTTCGCGAGCCAATGTTTCATTTTCTGATCGGCGAATGGTTTACGAATACTAAATGTAAAATGTCGAAATATTCAAATTACCTTCGAAGCAATCGAACCATATTCGCAAAAGAAATGTACGCGCCAGATTTTCTCATTCAGTTTTGTCGCGAGTTTCGCCCGAAATTTGTTCATCCGCCCGTAGTGAAACGAAAAGTGAATCTGTTCGCGCAAAATTAAACTCATGATAAGGTTGATTTTGTATTTTTAAACAAAATTCCATCATACGTTTTTCATGTCCGGCACCTATAAATGGAATCGGTTATAATTTGCAACACAATCTAACCGAATCTAGCCAACATAACTGTTTAGCAGTGATACAATTTTGAACCTGGGAACTATTTTAATTGTAATATGTATAACGATCAAAATTAAGGAAATAAAAAATTTCGAGTACAAAATTTTTGGAGAATCCGTTTTTTTTTTAATTTTCCTTGGTAAGAGACAAACACAACAAAAAGACAGCTCACATATGTAGGACAATCCATTTTAGAGCTATGCTCGGTATTACGTAAGCAACTTTGTTTTATACAAATATAAAGATATACATTTTTACATAGTTGGCAACCCTCTTCAAAATTATTACTTCTGTTGAAGACTGCATTCAAATGCCTTTCATTCTCTGAACAATTGAGTCAATATATATTTAAGTCCAAAAAATTTTAAGAGGTTGGCAACCCTATTAAAAAGTATTAATTTTTGCATCTTTATGAGCTTTCCCCACTCATTTAATTTGACAGAAAAATACCTTTTACAAATATGTATATAGGTTTGTAAACAAAAAAGACACTGAGAAAAGCTAGGCGCCGCTTTTCAAAGAAACACTTGCATAAGTATCCTGGCATATCGCTACCTAAAGGTGAAAAGGTGTCAAGTCCATTTTTTTTAATTTAGTTTTTGACGCAGAATGGAAAGTAATACATAACTACATTGATTTTTCGTATCTCCTGAACAATTTCAAAATATGGACTTGGCACCTTTCCCCCTTAGGTAACGATAGGATTTTCTGTTGACTTAAAAATTTTTTTACTTTTAATATCTAATATACCAAAACAAAAGGCTGCGTGTGCATTTCACGCAAGACTGAAGTGAAATTTATTCTTTCTATTACCCATAAACCTCACCATATTTTATGTACGAGTACTTTTCTACACAATCGGGAGCAATTATCTTAATTTTAATCTCAATCTCAATCTCAAGTTTAATCTTAATTTACAAATTAATCTTCATCTTTATTATTAACTTCATTATTATCTTTATCTTAATCTTAATTTCTAGCTTAATCTTAATCATATACTTAATCCTAATCTTTAGTCATAAACTAAGTCTTAATCGTATGCTTAATTTTAATCTTTATCTTAATCTCATCTTAATCTAATCTCCATCTTAGTCTCAATCTTAACCTTAATCCTAATCGTAATCTTAGCCTTAACATTAATCTTAACCTAAATCTTAATCTTAATCTTGACCTTAATCTTAATCTTATCTTAATCTAATCTTAATTTTAATATTAATCTTTATCTCGATCTTAATATTAATCTTAATCATAATCTTAGTTTCAATCGTCATCTAAATCTTAATATTAATCTTAATCCCAATCTCAACTTTAGATCAACTTTAATCTGAATCTTAAGCGATTTATCTTAATCTTAATTAAAATCTTAGTTTTAATCTTATTCCATAGAAAATATAAAGCTATCTGACAAGATCAAATACTTGGGTTTGGTCCTTGACAAAAAATTGTCGTGGAGCCCAAATTTCGAGAAGAGGCAAGGAGGGCATCAGTGACCTTATACTGCTGTATGTGAGCTATTGGAACGAGGTAGTGTGTTTTGCCTAAAGCTGTATCCTCGCTCTACGAGACCTATTATGTTTTATGGCGCCCTAAGTTGGTGGAACTCACTGGAAGGTGATCTTGAAATGTTATCGCCGGATAGAGGGCGGCTGGGTGAACCATTGATCATATGTTTTTGCACACTTCGAAAGATGAGCCTCATGTCAACTCAGTGAGCGCTAAGTGAAAACTAGGACATGCAAGGTCATTCTGATTGTCGGTAGACAGGGGGCTGTCACTCTTGACGGGAATTTTGACGTGTCACTGACCAATCGGTATTCACGCAATAAGGCTGAACTTATTGACTGATGCTGTATATCACAGTTGTCCGGAAGATGATGAGGTGATAGTACACCACACTACTGATCGACACTACCTTCTTAAGTGCCTAGCGTTTGCGAAGCTAAGGTTGAAGTGCTTTGGCTCTTTTTAATAGTCCCGAGGAGCTCTGGTGCTTAAAGATCAGTATCGTAATTACATAATAGGATCGAGGAATTTTTTCGATTAAGCATCGGGTGCCGGACAGCATGTGGTATTGTAAAGGACAATCTCCTAATTGTCTAAGTGAGTCCCTGACATATGGGGCTGCCACCTAACCTAACTTAACTGTAGATTTTTAATCGAAAAGTGAAAACTTTAAGCAAAATTTCTTAGGCTGATCCTATTTTGGTTGTGCCCCTAAACAAAAGCGCGAGATCTACACCATGGCATCTTTTGCCAACGGCCCTTTAAAGCTCTTGGAGCCGGCTTTCAAAAAGCAAGCTTTTTATTTAGAACACATTTGCGAATTACCAAAGTAGCTTGTTTACTTTAATATTTACCGATTTTTTGGTTTTCGCGGGTTATTCTCTAAGCTCCCACTTTTATATTGATTCAGTTCAATGCCCCTCTCACTTTTTAATCTATATATTAATACGCTAACGAAATCCCATACAAATCTATTCCTCCCTACTGCTCCTATGTTTCTCAACCGATTTGAATGATTTTTCTTTTGTTCGAAAGGTATTTCAAAGGAGAGGTGCGCATTTTGTTTGTTTTTTCAGTAGGTGGAGTAGGAGTGGAGTTATTCCGAAAAACTTCATTTATGGTCCGATTTGCTTCAAATTCAAAATACGTATTACTAACATCAATAGAAATACACCTGC